GGTGTGATGGTCAGATATCACAAACTATTAGCCACATATTTTATCTGTATTGTTGGTGCTGGCCTTAGAAGCTTGTGAAGATAAAGAAACATTCATTGATATTAATGAAATCAAGTTGGGAAAAGTTTAAGGAAAGAGGCAGATCCGATGTTTGGAAGTAAACTGCAGCCTAAATGAGAAGATCAAATATAGATGTTTCTGTTTTTAGAATCGTAATGGATGTCATAATATAAAAATGCAATATTAAACTAATCACAGATCCCGCTTTACTATAGTTCAGGCTGCAAAATAAATTCAATTCCTAACTGAAATCAATTGTTGGTAAGCCTGAACATTCACAATATGGACATTCTCAGAATTAGGATCAATGGGTTTTAATCAGGCTAATGTACAGATGTGGAATAACCTCATTGATGTTTAACTGACGTTTTAATGAAATAATATTATTACAGTGAAACACAGAGCTGAGGTCAATTTCAATTTACAAGCCAAAATTTGTTTTCTCTTTTTAGATAAATTAGAAAACGGTTTAAAATCCAATAACAAAAAAAGATTTTTTTGTCCAATTGTAAAGATTCCCTTACAGTCCCAGAGACAAAACAAAAAAGAAGTGACATCAAATGTCTACAAAGCGAAGAAAAAAAACACCTTAAACAGCAAAAAAAAAAAATTCCCATCTATTTCTGTTCTGGTGACAACTGCATATTATTTGATTTCCTCCTACTTTCCATCCAGGTGACAATAGATCACCAGGACTTATAAAGCTGATGATTGTACCCAATAGGGACACAGACCCAAAATATAAGAAAATCAGTGAAACACCAACATTTGTAGAATCCAGAAATAATTTTAATGGATAAGTTCACCTTTTTACAAAAAATAATCAATATATTCATAATCATATTTTTTTGCATTGATTATTTTTTGTTTTTGAAGGCTCTAAAGCACTGCAGCAGCGATCAGCAGATCGCGGGGGCCATTCAGGTCTCCTGCAGATCTGTCAGTATATTTGCTTGTGCATACAGGATGTACGGGCAAGCAGATATACTGACAGGAAGAATCAATGAACTACCACGACGACCCCCACAGCACCGTGGTAGTTCATTGAGAAGTACAAGCCGACAGCCGCAAAGGCTGTTGGGACTTGTAGTACATTCATTCACAGGACATCGTAAATGAATGTCATGGCCATGTGGGTAGAGCCCCACACGGCTGCATTTTTTTAAAAATTGTGACAGCTAGCAGGGAGGAGAAGATCCCCCACTAGCTGTCACAACGGAGAACGGGAGGAGTGGGGGCCAATCCATTCGTAACATGTTACACCCTGAATATGGGTGTAACATGTAACATGTTACGAAAAGGGAACTTATCTTTTAAATACATTTTTAAAAATGGAATAAAACAGCCAACGTGTTTCGGGTTTAAGCGCTCCCCCTTCATCAGGGTTGTATAACCTCAATGACTTTTACTGACAATTCTACAAACATTGTGATATGTGCAAAGCATTTGGGCACCAGCTCCTGGGTTCATGGACTGATCCAAGATGTATTACCTTGCCGACACCCACAGGTCCAGCATGTTTAAAGCTGAGTTCCACCCTTTTTTTCATGATCCTTGCCACACAATGCCCACCCGCAGAACAGTCTGTTATGGGATATTTTTATTCATTTATTTATTTCTAAATACCTTTTTATGATGTCAGTATCCTGCACTTCCGGTCCGGCCGCCTAGGCGATTTCGTCATTAGGCGATTCCCTAGGACTCTTGGGACATCACCATTGATTTTCCCAGGTGTCCTTGGGAAGCCTAATGGTGAAGTCTCGTGGTATTTCTTGACCGGAAGTGACGTTATCGGGAGGAATGATTGACAGGTTGCCATAACAACGGGGTGGTATTTTCTATCACTGCCGCCATTGTTATGGCAACCTACAAGCAACACGGTGTGCCGTGCCGTGTCCTTACAGCGCAAGCGTGAGATCAGCTAGGTAGCCAGCTACACCGAATCCAGAAGAAAGTAGGAGCTGGCTTCAGATGCCCACACTAGTAATGGCCGCTGCCTGCCTGCCGGGATCCTGCTGAGGAATGTTACATTTACAAGTATTATTATTATACAGTATTTATATAGCGCCAAAAGGTTTGCTCATCGCTGTACATTATAGTGGGGGACAGTACATGAGACAATACAGTAACAATACAATACACAAGGGGTTTGAGGGCCCAGCTCCTTGGACCTTACAATCTAGGAGGGAGGGGATAGTGGTACAGGAGGAAGTGGCTGTGGGGGATGGAGTGGTAGGAGGAGTGGAGGAGATCGGCAGTTAGGTGAGGGTGGGGTAGGCTTCCCTGAAGAGATGGGTTTAAAAAATGTAAAAAATACATTTTATTAATAAATTTAGGCCAAAATGTATTCTGCTACAAGTCTTTGCTTAAAAAAAAATCCCAATACGTGTAAATTAATTGGTTTACGTGACAGTTATAGCGACTACAAATGGCAGTATATATATTGGAATTTTTTTTTGTACTAGTAATGGCAGCAATCAGCGACTTAGCGGCGGACTGCGGTGGGCATTCTGACACTGGGTGGGAGCTGACTAACGGCCACTGACATCTCCAGTGACACTAATACAGTGATCAGTGCTAATAACATGCACTGACACTGTACTAATGGCACTGGGCAGGAAGGGGTTAACATTATAGCAGATATACTGCTACAGGGCAGCGCGCATATATACTTAACAAGCCCTCCCTGGACCCCAATGACCCGAACAACCTCAGACCCATCTCCCTGCTCCCATTTACATCCAAACTCCTCAAGCGCCTAGTCTACACCCGCCTATGCTCTCACCTCAACGACAACAACCTCCTCGATCCCCTACAGTCTGGCTTCCGTCCCCTACACTCCACCGAAACTGCCTTACTCAAACTCTCCAACGACCTGCTAACCGCCAAAGCTAATGGCCACTTGGTGTCATTCTGGACTCCAACTTATCCTTCCAGCCCCAAGTCCAATCTTTAACAAACTCGTGCAGACTCCACCTCCGCAACATCGCCAAAATCCGCACGTTCCTAACCCCAGAAACCACTAAACAGCTCATCCACTCCCTCATCATATCACGACTCGATTACTGCAACTCCCTCCTCACTGGCCTGCCACGCCGCTGGCTATCCCCACTTCAGTTGATCCTGAATACGGCTGCCAGACTCATTCACCTTTCCAACCGCTCCGTTTCCGCCACCCCCCTCTGCCAATCCCTCCACTGGCTTCCGATTGCGCAACGGATCAAATTCAAAATCCTAACATTGACATACAAAGCTGTCCACCATACTGCCCCGAACTACATCACTGACCTAATATCCAAGTACCGCCCAGCACGCACACTCCGCTCCTCACAAGACCTCCTTCTCTCTAGTTCCCTGGTCTCCTCCTCCCATGCCCGCCTCCAGGACTTCTCCAGGGTGTCACCCATCCTCTAGAACTCCCTGCCCCAACCTTTAGGCGCACCCTGAAAACCCATCTCTTCAGGGAAGCCTACCCCACCCCCTGCTAACTTGCCGACCTCCTCCACTCTTCCTACCACTCCAATCCCCCACAGCTATCTCCTCCTGTACCACTATCCCCTCCCTCCTAGATTGTAAGCTCGAAAGAGCAGGGCCCTCAATCCCCTCATGTTTTGTATTGTATTGGTATTGTTCTGTCACATGTTCTGTCCCCCTTTGTAATGTACAGCGCTGAGCGAACTATTGGCGCTTTATAAATACTGTATAATATTAATAATATATATATATATATATATATATATATATATATATATATATATATATATAATGGTACATAGTTAGTCTGGCTGAAAAAAGACAAAAGTCCATCCGGTTCAATCATTAAAAAAAAAATCCTATACCCACAGTTGATCCAGAGAAAGGCAAAAAACCCAGCAAAGCACGATCCAATTTGCTCCTGCAGGGAAAAAATTCCTTCCTGATCCTCCGAGAGGCAATCGGATATTCCCTGGATCAACTTTACCTATAAATGTTAGTTTCCAGTTATATTCAGTGTATCCAAGAAACAATCCAGGACTTTTTTAAAGTAATCCACTGAGCTGGCCAGAACCAACTCTTGAGGGAGTCTATTCCACATTTTCACAGCTCTTACTGTGAAGAAACCTTTCCATGTTTGGAGATTACATTTCTTTTCCTCCAGATGTAAAGAGTGCCCCCTTGTCCTCTGTGATGACCTCAGGATGAATAACTCTACACCGAGTTCACTATATGAACCACTGATGTATTTATACATGGAGATCATATCCCCCCCTATGTATTATACATGGAGATCATATCCCCCCTTATGTATTATACATGGAGATCATATCCCCCTTATGTATTATACATGGAGATCATATCCCCCCCCTTATGTATTATACATGGAGATCATATCCCCCTTATGTATTATACATAGTGATCATATCCCCCCTTATGTATTATACATGGAGATCATATCCCCCCTTATGTATTATACATGTTGATCATATCCCCCTTATGTATTATACATGGAGATCATATCCCCCTTATGTATTATACATGGAGATCATATCCCCCTTATGTATTATACATGGAGATCATATCCCCCCCCTTATGTATTATACATGGAGATCATATCCCCCTTATGTATTATACATGGAGATCATATCCCCCCTTATGTATTATACATGGAGATCATATCCCCCCCCTTATGTATTATACATGGAGATCATATCCCCCCTTATGTATTATACATGGTGATCATATCCCCCCTTATGTATTATACATGGAGATCATATCCCCCCTTATGTATTATACATGGAGATCATATCCCCCCTTATGTATTATACATGGAGATCATATCCCCCTTATGTATTATACATGGTGATCATATCCCCCCTTTATGTATTATACATGGAGATCATATCCCCCCTTAATCTCCTCTTCTCAAGAGAGAATAAATTCAGTTCCTCTAATCTTTCCTCATAGCTGATCTCCTCCATGCCTCTTATCAGTTTGGTTGCCCTTCTCTGTACTTTCTCCAGTTCCCCAGCCATCCAAAGCAGTGTGCTTACAGTGAAGTACACGGACACAGCACATAGTAAAACAGCACACAGTTAACCCTTTGATCGTCCCTCATGTTAACCCCTTCCTGCCCAGTGCCATTAGTACAGTGTCAGTGCTTTTTTTTTTTCAGCACTGATCACTGTATTGGTGTCACTGGGGATGTCAGTGACACCAAGTCAGTTCCCCCCCAGTTTAAGAATGCCCGCTGCAGTCCCACTATAAGTCGCTGATCGCTACCATTACTAGTAAACATTTGAAAAAAAACCCAGTATATATACCGCCATTTGTAAACGCTATAACTTTCACGTAAACCAAATAATTTACATTGGGATTTTTTTTTTTTTTTTTTAGCAAAGACATGTAGCAGAATACATTTTGGCCTAAATTTATGATAAAATGTGATTTTTACTGGATATGTTTAATAGCAAAAAGTCAAAAATATTTTTTCTCAAAATTGTTGGGCTTTTTTTTTATAGGGCAAAAAAAAAAAAATGCAGAGGCGATCAAATACCACTGAAAGAAAGCTCGATTTATGGGGAAAAAAAAAAGGACATAGATTTAATTTGGGTGCAGCGTTGCATGACCGCGCAATTGTCAGTTAAAGTAACACAAAAAAACGGCCTGATCAGGAAGGGGGGTAAATCCTCAGGAGGGCAAGTGGTTAACTTACCAGCATGTCTTTGGGGTGTGTGAGGAAAGCGGAGCACTCGGAGGAAACCCACACAGGCACAGGGAGAACATGCAGAATTAATGCAGGAAGTGCTAACCACTTAGCCACTGTGCTGCCCAACAAACTTAGGAGATATGATAGCAGCACAGATCAACATCCCAAAGTAAGCAATCCTTGAATACTATTCACAAAGTTTGAGTGCACCGACTTGCTTTACTGATATTTGTCACAGAGGTGGAATTACACTTTAAGTTGTCTCATTATGATTAAATCTGCAAAATAACAATTTCACAGCGGAATAATGAGATTTTTTTTTTTTTTCTGTTTTTTTTTTTGCTAATAACCGTAGCCTGGAGATAATTAGATCTAATTATTCAGTTCCATTAAGAGAAGAAATGACCTGGCGTGCAGGAACAGCAAGGAATGAGGAAAGTTGTGCACGGTACTCCGAACACAACATCTATCCCATCTCACCGACGCCAGATTCTCCTCCTGTATAATTACATCAGCCTGGGCGCACGCGTACGCCGCACTTCCTAACCCCCATAACAGTGTTCCTTCATTACATTTCTGATTCCTGCCAGATAATAGACATCAGCAAAATTTCTTGGAACTTTTGTGTTTTGGCTGGCGTGCAAAAAAATGATAAAATACACATTATCACAAATTAATTTGACAAAGTGCAACATGGCATTCTTAAAACGGGAGACGCTTACATGTCATCTCCTTTATCAAAGATCTGAGAAACAAGGAGCTAGTATTATTTAAAACCAACTCTAATTATCAAGTGGACCTCTACTCAAAAAGCGAAGATTTGGTGTATATTTAGTAAGGTCTAATTCTTGCAATGTGGTACTCTGAAAAAGCTAACTTTTGTTTTGAATTCCGAGCACATCCTGATGTACCCAAGGCCCTCCAGTTCCCGTAGAATGATAGCTTTAAATCTGTAGTGTGCAGGGGCGGACTGACCATTTGGAAACTCGGGCACTGCCCGAGGGCCCGGGGTCAGTAGGGGGGCCCCATGAGATACCTCTGGTACCTTTTTCATAGGCTTTTTTGAGTTTGGGCCAGGACACAGGGGCCTCATGATCCCCTATTGCCCGGGGGCCCCATGAGTTGTCAGTCCGCCCCTGCTGCACAGCAAAAAAATAATGGTGAACAAAGATGAACTCATCCCAGGGGCAGACTGACCATTTGGAAACTCGGGCACTGCCCGAGGGCCCAAGGTCAGTAGGGGGCCCCATGAGATGCCCCTGGTACCTTTTTCATAGGCTTTTTTGAGTTTGGGCAAGGACACAGGGGCCCCAAGATCCCCTATTGCCCGAGGGGCCCCATGAGCTGTCAGTCCGCCCCTGGTAGTGTGAGATCACTTATGGCAAATCTCACCCACTCCAGCCTTTGACCGCTGTTCTCACCAGATATGGATTGTAACTGGAAGAGGTGTCCCCAGAGGAACATTTCCCTCACCCCCTGTTTTGGTGACAATTCTATAATCTGGAATTCCAAATGACTTTCTGTCTCAGTGACAACCCAACTGGGCAAATAGAGATTGTGAATTGGCCCTAGTAGGCCACAGGAAGCAAAAGATCTTGCCCTACTCTATTGAAAACTAACCAAAAACATTTTGTCTATAGCAGGGGTCTCCACAATTTCTAAACAAAGGGCCAGTTTTCTGTCCTTCAAACTGTGGCCAGTGGGAATAGATAATGCCTCAGGCTTGGTGGTCAGTGGGAGTAAAAAAAAACAAAACACCCCTGTGGTTAGGAAGAGGAGGAAAAGTGCCCCATCATTGTATTGGTGGAAGAAAGTAGTGCCCCCATTGCTGGTGCCAGTGGGGAAAATAGTGCCCCCATTGTTGGTGACAGTGGGGGAGAACAGTGACCCATTGTTGGTGACAGTGGAAGAAATAGTGCCCCCTCTTTGATGTTAGTGGAAGGAATAGTTCCCCATCAATGGTGCCAGTGGAAGAACTTATTCTCCATCATTGGTGTCAGTGGGAGAAATTACCACATTTCTGGCGTCAGAGACAGAAATAGTGTACCAAGGACCAGATAAAGTCAAGCAAAGGGCCACATCCGGCAAACAGCCATTGGCCCCAACTGATGTCAATCACAGCCAGTGAGCTAATGAGGAGAGAGTGAGAGATGGTGGATCTATGTGTCTTATGGATGCAAAAAGCAGGGCTCGTGAGCCAGCACGCACCAGTGCCCCCATGGCAAGAGGCTTGCTAGTGGGTGCACTAGTCAAGGGGGAAGAGTCAGGAGTGCCGGCAGAGGACCCGAGTAGAAGAAGATTGGGGCTGCTCTGTGCAAAACCATTGCACAGAGCAGATAAGTATGACATGTTTGTTATTAAAAAAAAAAAAAAAACCTTAAGAATCACTTTCACTGCTTTGAGAAAATAAAATGTTCATGGAGCTGAATATTCTTCCCCTTCCTCCCAGCTCTGTTCACAGGGGGCCATATGCAGATTTAATTAAGCAAGAACAGTCACAAAGGCAGAAGCTATTGCTGGGCTCTCTTCAGGGGGCCCAGAACACTCTTCAAAAACTAGGTCATAGGTGCACCCTTTGTGACATGTCTTTCTAATTAAGATTTTATATAAAAAAAAAAAATAGAAAAAAAATAGGTTTTTTAAAATAGAGAAAAACATTGACTCAAGCCATAAAATATTCATTTTAAAACTTCGGGAGGATGAGTAGTGGGGTAACCCTCAAATATAAGCTTGAGAGTACAAACCTACCTGCATTAGTAATGATGAAACAACTTTGTAATGGACATTGCCAATACAAATCATAGCTCTCTAAGTTTAAAAAAAAAGATACAGGTCCATCATGGTCAACCAAAAGACAAAAATACTGTAAGTAAATAACATAGAATCATTGTATCTTCATAACGCTAAGGCCTCATGCACACTGGGCCAGGGGCGGACTGACAACTCATGGGGCCCCCGGGCAATAGGGGATCATGGGGCCCATGTGTCCTTGCCCAAACTCAAAAAAGCCTATGAAAAAGGTACCGGGGCATCTCATGGGGCCCCCTACTGACCCCGGGCCCCTGGGCAGTGCCAGAGTTTCCAAATGGTCAGTCCACCCCAGTGACTGGGCATTTTAAAAAGGATGGTAGCATTAGCTGTACAAAGTCGCATTAAAAACGTGAGTTTTTCCACATTTTCTAAAGTTTTTGCATTAGCTTTTTGCCAAGTTTAGCCATGTTAGCGTGTGTTTTAGCATTTTTTTTTACACACACAAAAACAAAAAAAAAAAAAAAAGGATTTTGGCCCAAAAACTGCTAAAAAATGCAGTTTTTCAGATTTTTACCACATTTACCATTTAGAGCATTCTTACATCTAAAAAACTCTTCTTGAAACCCACTAGTTCTGGGGTTTTTTTCCAGCCAGAAAACACCCCTGCCAAAAAATGCTGCTTAAAGCTTATGTGTGCATGGACACATAACATGCTGGGGAGTTTACTAACTGTAGAAAAAAACGCCAAAAGCCAAAAACAGCCGCTGTAAAAAATGCCCAGTGTGCATGAGGCCTGAACCTGCAGATGATCCAAAAGGAAAGCTAAAAATTCTTATAAAGTAAAAAGTAAAGCTAAAGTTGAATTTCAAACAGAATCCAAATCATGCAACTATAGCATCCTCCTAGATAGGTTCTAGGAGTAGATTTAGTTCATTAGTTCTGGCTTACTGTACCCAGTGGAGCTGGGTTTTTGTTGTTGGATAAATTTAGCTTGTCTCACTGTAATCAGTGTGGCTGCAATTCTGGATTAGGCAAATTTAGTTCTAGCTCACTGTAGTCAGTGCAGCTGCATGTGATTGTTTAGGTACTGCTTTGAGTCCCACAAGCTGCAGATTTACTTGCTCTCATTCAGTATCTCCAAGGCTACCTGGATGGTCCTGGAACATGGGTGTGGAGTAATGTAAACGGGCAGCATGAATATTTATACAGTCCTAGCCAATGTTTGTGACCCCTGCACAGGTGGCTACTGGGAAATGGGTATAAATAGAGGAGTCCAGCTTGGAGGGCCTGTTGCCCTCTGGGCAGTCCTGCCATGTGCTTGTGAGATGGGGAAACAGCTCTCATTGTTTGAACACTGTTTGTGTGCAGTAAATTATTGTGTTGAGTAAATTAAATGTTCTGGAGTGACATTCTGCGGTTTAGCCACAAGATGCCACTGTTTTCCTAACACAGCCTCAGACTGCATAGATATTTCTATATTCCTGAAGAGGTGGGGTTTTTCACACAGAGTTTAGAGAACAGGAAGGGGAGAGGAAGCAGCCATGTTTTAGAGGATGGTGAATGCAGGAGCCATGTGATCAGAGAATCTGATGGCATCCAGGTGTAAGAGCATCCCTCAGTAACCAGAGCTGCAGCTAAGTGAAACTGATCATGTCCGAGACCCTGATTCTGTTCAGAGAAAGAAAGATTGCTGCCAGGAATGCTGATGAGAGCAGAGGAACAAAGCAACATACACTCCGAGACCGCATGCTTGTTGGAGAGAAATTTGTTCTGTTCAGAGTCACGAGCGGATGCAAAGCAGACCTG